TAATTGAGTAAGTGACGCTGCTGCTGACTCCTCTTCTCTCTCTCTCTCTAAGCGTTTCAATTTGAGCCCATTTAGCAAGACAAACACACCACACCACACCACACCACACAGCACTCTTCTTGAGTCACTGCTGAAATTATCGCCACTGCCGCCGCCACCGCCACTGACTGTCGGCAAAAGTCAGAATAGGTCAGAATCGAGACGGCAGCAGCAGCCACTACCTAGTGAAAGCAGCCTAGTGCAATCGTGATCGATCGATCGATGGCCGTGGCTCACTCACTACTACCACCACCAAACGGTGATGATCGCCAATTTACGAGAGAGAGAGAGAGAGAGAGAGAGAGAGTTTTGGCGACTATGGCGAAGAATACACAAACACACAGACAATGTTTTCGTTTTCCTCTTCGCCTTCATTCATGTCTTCTTCTTCTTCTTCACGCACGCTGAAGATGGACAGCAGTGGCAGCAGTTCTTCACCACGGCACCACTTCTGCCGCTGTGCATGATTAACACACTTCCTTTGCTGCTGTTGCAAGTAGTCCCTCTGTCACGAATTCTCTCATCTCCTCTCCTCAGCCGCCTCCCCTTTCTTTGCTGTGTTGCAAAGTTTTGACTGAAACCGTTTTGCCCTCTCTTTCACTTCACTTCACTTGCGATGTGTTGTAACTCACCTGTGTTCGCCTTTCCACCACCATCACCTCAAACTGTGCACACAAACACACACACACACACACACACCGCACTTGAGTAAATAAAACGTGCCTAGACGGCCGGCAAAGAGCAAAGGACAAGTGCGCANAACTCACCTGTGTACTGTTCACCTTTGCACCACCACCACCACCACCGCCATCACCTCAAACTGTGCACACACACACACACACCGCACTTGAGTAAATAAAACGTGCCTAGACGGCCGGCAAAGAGCAAAGGACAAGTGCGCAGCGCTGGAGAAGGAGGATGAGTGCCTCGTCGCTGTCGCCGACCACTCTTGATGGTGCCAATTAATTTAGCGCGCCTGAACCTTCTTCTCCTCGTCCTTTTTTGCTCGTCCTTTGACAGTGAATCTTCTTCTGCTGCTGCTGCTGCCTCCTCTTTTTTGCATTCGTGAGTGGGCTTTTTCCGTCTTTGCTGACAGTTAGCGGTACTAGAGGAGGAGGAGAAGGCGGTTGTGGTGGTTGATTTACTGGTCAGGGTTTGACTAGTGTCTAAAAGAAAAAAATTGACAAAAAAGGATTTTTAGTTTGTCACAACAAACGCTCAGTTTTCTCCTCAGCTTTTAGCTGTGTGCGATTCGCTGTCTCTGCAATCTCTGAGACATCTCTGAACGACGGCAGCTTGGGCACTTCCACGTTCCACCTGAGTTGCCACCACAGTTTAGCTCTCCCTATAACAAAATGAAATGGCAGAGATCCCTAAACTCCTATCTGACTGCGCAATCACACACATTGGCAATCACATAGTCAGTCAGTCAGTCGCACAACTTCCTCACATCTCACTCACTCACTTGCTCACCTCTACGTCTGAACTGAGTGCGCACGTCTTCGTACTCTGAAAGTCTGAGCCTCTCTCACAGACAATTGACCGGCAATTGCTGCCACCGCTGCTGCTGCTCTCAGCCATCTCAACCTGCCAATTGGGAGCCAATTATAGTTATGAGAGATCGGAGATCTATCCATCTCAAATCTACCACTGCTGCTGCTCTCTGGCAAGTGTTAATCGTGCCCAAATCGTGCGCAATCATGCGCCCGGCAAATGATGACGATGAAGATGACGATGATGATGATTTAGCTAGCAAGTGATTACTGAGAGATTTTCACTGGATGAGAGAGAGTTGAAACGCAGAAGAGGAGTTTGGTCAATATTTTAGGCGTTTTTATTGTTATTACTTCTACTACTATTACTATTGTGCAAGTGTGTGTGTGAAAGGGGAAAAAGTGTGATGGGATGTGTTCAGAAGAAGAAGAAGAAGAAGTTGAAATGAAGAAAGAAAACTTGAGTATATGTGTGTGTGTGTATTTACAAAACCAAGAGAAGCTGAGAGAAAGACTGACTGAATCGAAGACTATCTGAAGAGAGAAAACGCCGTTGAAAGAACAGCACACAGAAAGAGTTGCTTGGGAGAAAGACATGGCGAAAAAGAAGTTAAAAGATTTCTAAAGAAATAAGGAAGGAAAGAAAGAAAGAAAAAAGAAGAAATTGGGTGTTCAAGTTGCCACCAACACTACTACTGCAAAACATCAACAACAACAAGTAGTTTCTAATTCTAGGCGCAAATAAATAAAGGAGGATGCTGCTGCTGTACAGGAAAAAGATGAGAGCGTGTAGGTGTTCTCTTGATGAAGTAGATGATGATTATGCTGCAGTTGCTGTTGCGAATGATTAGTTTTCCACGTCAATGTCCTCGTCATTGGCACCTCTTTTTTCGGTCTTTACCTTCTTCTTTTCACCCTCCTTTGAGTTGACACTGTCATCCGTTCCCTTGTCTATTTCCTCCATTTCATCCAGGTCCACCTCGACCTCTTCATCTCCGTTTTCCAACTCCTCTTCGTCCTCCTCCTCCTCCTCAGGTTCAGCTGCATCACCGACCAGCTTGGTGACTGCTTTCAGCTCCTCTGCCAGTTCTCCCTCCAGGTCCACCTCTTCGTCCTCCTCCTCGTCCTCATCGAGATCCATCGAGTCGACATCCTCGTCCTCCAGGTCCTCCTCCTCCTCCTCTTCATCCTCCTCGTCCACATCGTCGACGACCACGTCAATGTCCTCGTCGTTTTCGTCCTTCATTCCGGTGAACTCACTGCGGCTGCCGCGGTTCGCCTCGCCATTTCCATTGTGGTGATGGCGGCCGTTGTGGCCGTTGTTGTTGTTGTTGTTGTTGGAATCCTCGGCCGCCGTACTGCTCACCTTGTTCACCTGGCCGGGCGCCTTCATGCCCTGCAGCTGATGGTGGCTGTGATGATGATGTCGTCGGGAGAGGCCGTGCAGAGGTGGGCGGCCTCGGGTCGGGTGGTGATTGGCAGCCG